TTATGACCAACAAGCGAAATATGAAATTATATAAAGTCTTTGGTTGGACAAAAATGCCATCTTTTTAAAATTTTAATTTGTGTAACGTGTACTAAGTCACTCTAGAATATCATGTTCATTTTGCTAGTAAATGATCTATTGACATGAATAAACTCATTTGAAATAGATAGAAAACATAATTAAATGAAAAGAAGATTGTTCGTAGTAAACGTACAATGATGAATTGATATCCAATTAGATCAATGATGATGTATACTCTAAAAAATGAAAAAAGAATGCATACAATTTCTAAATAATTCAGACTACTCACTGTTTCGAAAATGAAATTTATACTATAATACTATGTTACAACTCACTTTCTTTTTCTTTCACACGCACATATATATATATATATTCAAAATCTTATCATTATATTAATGATATCTTGAAAAAGTAACGAGAAAATGTAAACTACTGTCAAGCATCTCATGCGTTTGTATACGTTATGCGAGACAGTTGCATGAAAAATGAACACAATCAATAATAATTAATGTATGTCAAGTAGATAAACAATAACAAGACTTGTCTTATACAAATTGTTCAGTAATCTATATGAACATCAACATATACACGTTATGTTCATTGTTCATTGACATGAACAATCTTTTATCAAACATGATTGCGTCAAAGAAATTTTGCATTGCAACATTTTAATGTCAGAGATAAATAGAGTGCCTTGCAGTAATTCGATCATGAGTTTCAGTGATTTTCAGAAAAACATCGATATCTTCGCTCTACGACGTCCGTTTGAGCATATTCTTTTTTTCCACAATAAATCTATCGACACTACATGTGGATCGATTTTTTTCTGAAAACTAACTATTTTTTTAATGATTAAGCGTGAATATGAAAACATGAAGTTGCCATTTTTTCTCGTTCTGTTGCTGACCTAATTGTATCACCCTCTATATTTTTTCGTTCTAATTTGATCATTACATGAGATTTGAAGACGGTGCTCAGAAAAACTTTTGTTTCGCCGGACGGTGTCGGTGTGGGCGTGGATGTAGAAATTCTACAGATCCGCACCAACACAAACGGTCACACACATCCACATCCTGGAAGCAAGCACCAAAGCGTTTTCTTCAAGAAGTTATTCCATATAAAACTCAAATATTGTTTCAATTGTTTCTCACCAAGTCTGAGTTAGAGGTGCTTAGAATAACCTAAACTGGATCTATGAAAACCATATTTGTTTCTTTTATAAAATACTTTTTACAGAAAATTGCATGATGTTGAATCTCACAAATGGAAAACTTAAACATGTTTTGATTGATAATTTCTTTGAATTGAAGGATGGTTGACATGGCTATGGAAGTATCTTATTAATACTGATTCTATATGAAAGTGTCTCGAAACCAAGAAAAATTTCAAGAATGCCATTGAATATTTCTAGCCACATCCCTACGAGCAGACAAAAATAAGTTGAACATTTTCTGCCGTTGAAGCATAACGCTTTTTAGCCCCTACCGTTGATAGAGAAAAAAAAATTACAATAAATTGCACTGCTGTTCTCTCGGTATCCAATTCATGCATCAACACACGCACATACATATGTTCATCAGTTAATATATTAAAGCGTTGATATTGATTAAAGCAGATTATTATGTTTTCATAATTCTAAATTTATCATCAAACACATATTATTTTATGTAAATTACAGACATCATTCTTCTCAAATGCATTTTCAATTTTAATCCACTTATCCCTGTTGTCGAATGCATCTTCTATGTTAGGAAATTTCATTTAAATTTTCTGTGTTTAATACATCGGGAAATCTATCAAATACGGAATAAGCTGTTAAAACTAAAAAGTTTGATCAAATCAGCGATTAAAAATCGCCTAATAATTAAAGCTAGAAAGAAGCCATCAGCTGCTATAACTATACATATCTTTTCAGGAATTGCGTAGAAAACTACGTCAATCAAGCAGAAACAAACGATTTTAATCATATGTTATCATCAAATGAGAGGAAGTTAACAATTTTTCATGACTTTTATTAAAAAAAAAGGACAAATTAAATGTGAACTTTATAAATAGCCATTTAAAGACATATTGAACGCAATACAGTAATTTTTTCTCGATCCTTGTCAAAGGTCAAATGGTTAGGTCACTAATAGTAAAAATAAATGATATTGGCCTGAATAGTAGGACTTTTATAAAAGATAAAAATTATTGAAACTTTTTGTAATAATTAGTATGATATTCAGTATAATTACTGTTAAGCCGAGATGAATTATAGTTTGTGAGTGTGAATATTAGAAACATATAAATTATTACTTGGAATGCGGCTGCGTATGCCTTGGTATTATTTGTTCTTCATAGCTACGCTCATCATCAAGTTGAATGATCCAAGATACCCTAATAAAAAATCGCAAGCCCAGAATAAGTGTAACGATCAAAGAACTATAAGAGCGTTTAAATCATTATAATTCTCCTAAAAATTTGTTGTGATATACAGATTAAGAATAATACATCGAATGATCCATTTATTACAAGAAACACTGACAAAAAGTTATACATCTATCTGGAATCGGAGAACTCTATTAAAGAAAAGCCGCCTGAATGAATCGTTAGAAACTGAATTATATATATATTGTCTGATGGTCAACTGCGATTCCTCGTGCTCTAGTAACTCTTAAAACCGAAATAGTGTCAATTCATAAAATTTTACAATTTTTCAAAAATTTCATTAATGAAAATTCAATTTATCTATGCATTGCTTCTTGAGAATGAGATAAAACTTACAATGGATAGGTTACAACATTATCAAAGCTTTCAGTTGAAAGTAAAAGCAACCATTTATGTATATTATGAGCAATTCATAAAATTTAAGTATCATACATACTATTTGCCTAACAATAAGAAATAGATGTGTTAGGTTAGAAGTAAACATTTGTTTTTCTGACTTAAATTTGTTCAAAATCCAAGTTTTTTTTCATGAATCCTTTTGCTTGTTGATGAAAAAGCGATTCGTCTGATCATACGAAATATCGATTATGTTTAAAAAAATGGTCCATTCTTTCTTTGTCATATTAATTGTCTACAGCATTGTTCAATGCCATTTTGTTTCTCACCATTATTATTATTTTGGTTGATATGTTCGGTTTCATCGCTATTCCCATCATTATCATCACTTTGATTAAGACTATTGTCGAAGAGATTCTGATGAGGTGTGCGTTTTCTAAGTATGGTCACGCTTAAATGATCAAGGTAGTTTGCAGTTGATTCGATTAAATTAATAGGAGTAGCCATGCTGAACATCTGAGATATTGTTGATTCTAATAGTTCTTCTGACGTAAATGCTTTCAGTTCAATTTCAATATAACCGTTAGGTTTAGTTTGATCAATTTTCGTCACCATAAATATAGAGAGAGGTAGAATTAGTACTTCTTCTTCATTCGGATACTCGGAGATGCCTGCTAAATCAATACATAATGTATTAGTAACATCCATAATAAATATGAATAAAGCAGGCATTCGTCCAGATTCGGGTTGTTTGGCAAATGTTTCAGCCATTGAACGAAGCTTTGATGAAGACGAGAAAGTTTTTTGAATAACGAGGGAGTTGACTTTATAAAGTGACAAGTCATGCTGTGTAATAGTAAGTCCACGATATGTGCGACCACAAAAGCATTTCAAAGGTGATCCAACAGTATTGACATCTTTCAATATAATACTAGTGAAATAAAGTGGCCAATCTACTGTTTTATCATTATGATTCTTGCTAGTCTTAATAAACATTGCCGTTAAGTACTCTGCTAGGTTGTTCGAGACAGATAAATTTGAGAGTTGCCTATTTAATATTCTATAGAAATTACTCTCGATAGTGTAGGCATAAACAAGATGAGTAATATTGGATTCAGATTGACCTCGTTCAAGTGCAACATAGACCTTGTCCATACTTTTATCGTTTTTAAGTTCATCAGCTGCCTTGATTTTATCTACAGCATCCTTAATTGTACAATCAGGCAAACGTTTCACTAGTTCAATGCGAGACACGATGCTGTTCCAACCCGTCAAAATAAATTCATTCTGAATCGAATCAGAATTGTATCGATTTTTAAGTAGATTGAGAGAACGTGGACGATTCAATTTGTGGCTAACAAATAAACTACTTGAGCAGCCCATGTCAACGGCTATAAAAAGAAATTAAAAACAAATAATTAAGAATAATGCTTTGCATTTCAATTCTCAAAGTTCTTTTTAATGTTTCTACATATGAAAAGGATTTGAAAAGTATAACTGACAAATGAGAGAGAGAGAGCCTTGTTCTGATAGAAAAGCTGCATAATGAATTACTGCACTTGTTACAGCTAATTGTGGAATATAGTATAGTCTCTTCGAGGAGACCAGATCAGTCAGTCTGGAATTTGAACTGATCAGTTACTAATAACAGTTCAACATTTCGATATGGATATGAATGAATATGCATCTCCTCTTAACTGACATTCTCTATTTTACGATTCTTTTAATTCAATAAACAATATTTTTGATTTGATAGTAGATAGAAAATCTTGACTACTGTCAAACAGATGTATCTTCTATTTTTCATTGAAATGGTTAGTTACGTAAGAGAAAGTTGATAAACTTTACTGACTTATATTTGTTTCAAACAACTTCTTTGAAGACGCCATTCATTGTTGAAATAGAGTGGACTGAAATTTCAATATTGTGCAGCGATATGGCCGACCAGTTTGTATCTATTTGACGGAGACAAAGGATATCAGAAAAAAAGTAACTGAAAAATATGTTGCTCGTGTAAAAACAACAAAGAGGTATATGCCACTGAAAACAATCTCATAAATGTTCGAGTTGCTATTAAGTGATTCTGCTAAAGATGGAGTATGAGTATTGATATAAAGGTAGATGTAATCACGAAATTGATATCCATTTGCACACATCACCTCGTCAGCAATACTCAATGACATAAAAGCATGCTTGATATTGTCATTGGTCTTTTTTTCTTCAATATTTCTCAAACACCATTATCTCTTATCGATACACCTACACGTTTCTTATTCTTCCTTATGCAATAAAATATCGTCATCTCAGTGGTTGACAAACTCAGGGTGTGCTTTTTTTTTACACTCACATACTCTATAGACAGAACATACAGGCAGACAGAGTAAATGTACGAAACGTCGAAGGTTTTTATTCCACCGAAATACATATTAACTTAAATGTAAAATTGTTTATTAAAAACCAACCAATATCTGAGTTGTTCATTTTATCATTAGAAGGCTGATATTAACAATTATGACATTCTCCTTGATAAATAAAATTACGAAGAGCGTAATTTAAGCCCTTCTGAACCTTCAAAGCTGATATCAGGCCAAAAACGTTCGAATAACATGACAGTTTAGTATAATTTTCAGTCCTATGTCATCCCTTTTGAATGAGATTGTGACCTAGTAGGAGTCAAACAATAGTTTGAGTATGAATGAATAAAAAACAGCAGTTTGAAATAATATTATGGCAAGAAGGAATTTTTAAAATTACACAATTATTCGACGTTTCGAAGAATCCATATTATCATATTCATGAATTACTTTTGTATATAATTTTGAGAGAAGAACTATTCCATAAACTAACAAAACAAATAGCAAAGAAACGAAATTTTAACGTCATCATTTATCAGGATCAGTTAGTAGAACTTTTGGTAGATCATCAATAAATACAACTAATGTTGCCAAACGTATTGTCTTATTGAGTTCTGGTTTACAAGTCTTGATAAATAATGAAGGTGTGTAGGTGAGGGTGTATATGTTGTAACCATTCTTATACGCAAACCTCATCCACACCCACATCCTAAAGACAATGTGATGCTAATCCGATTAGTCATGAAATAAAAAGAACTATTCTTAGCCAAATCTCGATGCGACAATCATTGATTATTGTACTGGAGTATCTTCTTATACAAAATAGAAATAAGAAAAACATGCTATTCTTTTTGTCCTTCGAAATCGTTTTAGCTTATAATTATAAAATGAAGCAATACAATTACCAGAAAGTTTCTCTTTTAGGAAGATGATGTGTTAATTTAATTGGCATAAAAATATTGAATATGATTTTCATTCTTCAATAATCGATGTGGCTTGATTTATGTCGGACTAAACCGATCGGTGACCAATACATCTGTTAGGAAAGTTGAAAAGGTTTCATTTTGAACAAAAATACAGACTAGTGGACCTAATTTGCTACCTTTTTGAACATTGTTGTAATTGAAATTTGTTTGACAAAGTTGTTGTTCGATTTCCGAATCGACCATGGTTTGAAGAAGTTGAAGATTTTTCTCACTAGTTTTATATTCTCGCTTAGAATTTTGTTCTTCAATTAATTCTAAAAACAGGACATAAGGTGAAGGAAATACATCTAATTTCGGATAACTGGTAAAATCATAGATATCTAGACGAATTCTTTGTTCTTTCCATTGTTGAGATGTTCGTTGAAGAGCATCCATGAGATGCTGTTCACTTGTTTTTTCTCCAAATGCATCCAATAAACTTCCAATGCGATATGCTATTGAAAAAAGTGGAATCCGAGGAACTTCTTCGTGATCGATGGGTAATGGGACCAAATCATCGGATCGACAAAAAAGTCCTGTACAAGTGATCACATCTCCCATACGATATCGGATGAGTCCAGCTTCAGTGATGCAAACTAATTCATATCGATTTCCTGGTTCAATATCCAAAATAAGAAGTGTCTTTGGTTGAGCCTGAAAGTAAAAGAATAACACAATAAAAATGTATTATCATAAACTCTGACCGATATATTTTCGAAAAATTTTTTTTCTCTGACTATGAAAACATTTTTGTTAGTTTGAACTGACTAATAAATAAGTGAAACAAAATGACCTATCAACATTAAAAAACCTGCCTGATGAATGTCTTCTTCTTTGATAAATTCGTAAAATGCTATATTTGGTAGCAGGAGATATTCATCTGTACTAATACTTGCTAGACAGCCAAAAAATCCTTTACTTGAGGCATAGAATCCAAGGTTAACAATAGGTAATTGTTTTTCACAATAAAATTCAACTTCTTTCCTATTTATCGCAAAAGTGATCCCTGTGGCGGTCGATGCATAAATTAAACTCGGTTATAGACGAGGAAGAATACTAGGTACATCTTTTTTCATACATTCTTTATGAATATATTCTGCTCGAGCTATTCGATATGATAATCCTCCATATTCCAGAGCAACTTTTTTCAATGTTCGATTTAATCTCGATCTAATTTTCAAATCATGAACATTTTCTCGAACAAGTGAGCTATGATCAAAATTCGCCAAAGAAATACAAGGGTGTGGGTGTTGGTGTGTGGGGGTGGGGTGGGTGGGGTGGGTGCGGGTGTGTCGGTGTGGGTGGATGTGGATTATCTTGGCATTCACACCCCACACCCTCTATACATTTTTATTTGAATGAGCATGTAAAACTGTACTGCCTAGTAGATTCCCTTTTCAATTTTTACTTTTTTTTATATAGTAAAAAAAATTAAGCAAAATATTGTATAATTTATCAAAAATTTTGGAAGAAAAGAGCTACCAAGTAAAAAATAAGGAATGTGCCATTAATGGGTCAGAAACTACCTTTAATTATCAGTAATTTATTGCATTATACGAAAGTACTGGTAATTTTGTACTCTCTATTGCATTTATTTCAATTTTGATTTCGATTTTTGTAATATGGGTCTTAATATAAACGATCAATAATCTGTCTTGTAGATTTATTCAATGAGAAACTTTTTTCCCTTGCACATGTTCAATTCATAAATATTTCACTTGTATGTATTCAATCTTATCAATGAACAACATACATACTCCCATTGTAAAACTTAAGGAAAATCTTCAAAGATCTTATACAAAACTATATATTATTTAATTTTATATTGTATGATTGAACATGAGAAGAACCTAAAATGATTTTATTTGATATAAAGAACTTATTTCAAGGTCATAAACTTGATCTCTTATCACTTCGAACCAATGGCAATTTTCTTTCCTTAGTTCACCTAGACATAGTCTGATAATCAACTTAATCAATACTTATTAAAGCTTCTTATTTAAATCACGCGTTAAGTTTTATTATGATCAGTCGAATACAATATATATTGAAAGTAAACTAATGTATTCATTCTCTTTTAACGTTTTCATTTGAACGTTCAAAAGCCAAATGAATTTCTATAATAATCCTCCGACAAAAAGGCACTTATCTTATTGTAATTTAATACTCTATTCAAATCGTTCATCCAACTAATAAAATGTTTCTAAAGGATTAATAAAAAACATCATACTTGATGAGAGTTTTTACTGAATGGGCTTTATTCTTATATTGATTTGTATCGATCGGGTTAATATCATGAGTTTGATGATTACCAATTGTTGTACTTGCATTTAAATGAAAATTTGTTATTATAAATGTCTCTAATGATTTCCATGTAATTGTGTGTTGTTGAAAAATATTTCCAACAGCTGATGATGTTACATAATTATTTGGGTGTGGATCTATTTGTAATACCCACACCCACATATCAACCGAAACAACATGCATCACCTCCATATCACTTCATAATGCCACCTAAACCTCCAACGCACCCATACAATAAAGCTTGAAAAAAGAGCTTTGTCTAAGTCATTACCCAACCTGACAGCTGGAATACAATAATTTCCATCATCCGAAAACTACTGTCATTATTTGAGAAAGAACTTTAAATAGAATTTTTTTCATAAGTTCCCTTATTAACAAACTTTCTCATATAATCCTATTACGAATTCAATGAAATACCGAAACACTTTTCTCAATGATATCTTCACCAGAAGCCATTTTGGACACTCGAGTAGGTATTTTGGTAGAAAAAGATCTTTGAAGATTTTTTGGGATACGATTTATTCTCGATATATTTCCTTGGAAATACAATTTGATTCCAATAATGTTCTGTAAGTATAGAAAAAATTTCCGATTTCTTTTCGTTTGGTTCCTCTTGTTTCAGTCCGTATCCAGCAAGAACTACACGGGAACTGGATGCTATTGATCAGAAAAGGTGCGTTTTCAGTGAATACCTGCGGTGTTCGAGGACCGAAATAGTCGATCTATATACCAGAGAAAGATGAAATATTGCTTATTTTAAAAATTTTTGTATAAGACTCCTTGTTTTTCCGAAATTCTGTTGTTTTGTGTAAACCGATCGACTCAAACCAAAAAGTTGGAGAACGTCTCAACTCGTCACGTGACGAGTTGAACAAACAGCAAAAATCAGACCTTTCGTAACACCAAAAATAGGGATATCCAAAAATACAGGGATGTCGTAACGAAATTTACAGGGAGATCGTAACGATTAATACAGGGTGTTCGTAACAGTTGCAGAGCTTTCGCAACGAAGCAACAGGAATTTCGTAATGAGGATGAGGATGATAGCTGGGCTTAGTTTGCGGAAATGACATGCTTTTCGTTACGAAAGCTCTGTAATGGTACATATTAAAACACCAATTACGATCACCCTGTAAAATATGTTACGAAACCCCTGATTTTTTGTTACGAAAGCCCTGATTTTGTCGTTACGAAAGCTCTGTCACGGGCTTTCGTACTGTCAATTCGTTACGAAAACCAGACAAGAAAAAACGTGACGAGTTGACACATTCCCAAAAGTTGTTTCAAGAAATTTAGATTATTCAGTGTCTCAGACAACACTAAAAAAATAACGATCGCTTCAGATGACTGACTGTTCGGTAGAATATATTGACCATTGTACCGTGTCGAATTTGTGTTTATTAAATTGATGAATATATTTTTTATGAACTAAAAAAGAGAAACAGTTAAGTGACGTCGTCATCGTCTCGATTCTTCATCGTAGAACTTGGACAAGGCTCGACATAAACGTCTACGAACTACTTTTAATTCCTCAAGTACATCGCCTTGAAATTCTGATTTTATATTGTCGATCAATCCAATAGCATAATGAAGTAGTTTGTCGTCGAGCCGATCATAGACAAATGTGTCTTTAATTAGCGATTTAAAACGTCCTGTATATGTATTCATCCAAGTTATATCTTGCAGTGCATCACAAAAGATATAAAGTTCTTGAAGATTGTACGGTGTATCATCTTTGTATGCAGCCCACCACTTTTCCACATTTTCACTGTGAGCAAATAATGTCATCATCCTTTGATTATGTTCCAAAATATAATCTCGGCATCTCTGCCTATTGTCAAACACTTGAACAAATGACATCAGTTGTGCATTCGGCAAAGGAATGACTAAACCGACTCTATCCAACTGATAAAGTAAGAGAGTCCAATAACGCGCTTGTTGGTAGAAAGAATCGGACTGAATATCTTGGATCGATAGCATCTAAAATAAAAAAGAGAAAGAAAAATCTCACCATTCACCAAATGGAACAGAGACATCTGATAGGGTCGTTACAAAAAAGATAATGTTCGTAAAGACTAGAAACCTATCACCACCGCGTCACAATAAACATTTCTGTTTTAAAACTCTTCAAGAGAGTCACAGAGTTTCTTCGCTTTTGAAAACATTTTTCGGGCCTGTTCGGCATCGTCTTTAGCACGGCATTCCGCACCCAGATCGCTATAATGAGCGATAAGATCATATATTAGTCGGTAGCGAAGATCGTCAAAATTTGTAATAACAGTCTTTCTTTCTAATGTCGATTGCCCATAACGATACAAACGTTTAACTTTTTTTAAATGTTCAAAGGTTGATATAGTCGATTCGTCATAATGCATGTCAACGATTAGAAATACGACACTGACGTTTTCGTCGTTGCTTAAATAATGTTGACAATCGTATTCGTTATCAAAAGTTGAATAACCTGAAACAATCTCGCTGAAGTATTTTTGTATTTGGTAAACTTCGACATTATATTGCGTTTTTGATTTTAGCCAAACGAGCACTGTTCTTTTGCGGACAAATGATTGGCTATCATTTTTTATTGTGATTAAGTTCTGATGAGCTTTTCGTAATTCACCATGAATTCGGTTGGCTATATTTTCTTTGTCTGTGGCCATATTTACATCACCCAAACGGAAATATTCTATTGCTTCCTTTGTATAGCATCGATATAATTCATCGGCTAATTGGCAGATAAGATCCTCACCTGTGGCAAATCGATCTCTCTGATTGACCTTATTTGGATCGCTCTCCAAAATAAAAATGAATACATTTTGTTTGGTTTTTGTGTTCATTGAAGCAAAGAACTGACTACTTGTAAAAAGAAAAATAGTTTTATCAGTTATTTTCTGCAAATCAAACTCAGATCCGTTGTCAAATATTGATATGGTGTCATTTGTTAACTGATGAAGTGCATTCAGCATAGTTGAAGCTAAATCACTCAAACGAGTTGATACATCAACAAGAACAAACAGAGTATCAGGAAGTGACACTAATATAAATAAATCATTGCCACTTTATTTATTGTTTGAAGAATAAATACGTACTTGATTTGACTTTTGAAATTTTATTTAATTTTTCCTGTAATCGAGATACTAGAACATGATGAGCAGGTAGCTCTCGAAGGAGACATCTGTAATACATTATAGCCTTGTCGTGTTGATCGTAGCTCTCTAACAGATCACCAATTACGCACAAATCACCATTTTGCCGAAGTTGTCGCTTCATGTTTGTTAATAAGGTTAAATCTTTGCCATCAGCTAATGTTAATTGAAGTGTGTACTTTGAAGTATGTATCTGCTTCAATGAACCAATACGAAATATCGAACCACACATAAAAAGAACGTTGTTCTTATTTTTATCATCGACGAGTATGTCGGTTTCATCAAAGCATGCAAATGGTGATGTGTCAGTATGAGGATAAGCATCGATTTCTAATAATACAGTTTGAAATTGATTATTGTCAATGTTCACAGATTGCAAATCAGGCTTTTTTGACGAAGCACAAAGAAATCCAGTAAAAAACAAATATTGGTCTCGATTTGTCTTAAGATATTCTATTTCATGCGCTGACATGAGCTGCAATTTATATACACTTAGTGCATGAGTGGGACGAGCAGTCAATCGAAAATAAATATCGTTAAGAAAAAAACGAAGAAGAAAAAGAATATGAATATCTTGTTCGCGAAGGGCTTTGTTGATAAAACGTGTTACAGGCGTATCATGCATAATGCATAATATGGCTCGTTTTGCATTGTATGTTTGTGTAAATTCGTCGATTGAAGCTAAGTGATAAGCATTTTCTGCACAGTATTGACGAAGGATTTGAATCAATTGGGAGAATGTATCTCGCGATGGTAAGTAAGATGATGAAATCAGAATTTCGAGTAAAAGCTGATACCAGATGAAAGTAGCATTCTTCGAATTGAGACCACTCTTATGGTGATGACCTTGAAAGACCTGAATTGCTTTTGAATCTTCAACGCTTTCAAGATCTTTCTGATAGCTTGATAAATGCTGCATAAGATCCTCCATAACTGTGACAACACTACATATTTTTGAATATTTTCTAGCCCATGCCTCATAACGTGTACATTTCAAACAATAAATATATATAGCAACGATAGATTCTAAATCATGAATATGAGGTATAATTACTTGTCCGAATTTACCTGATACAATCAGAATAATCTTCTCTTTGGCGCAATAATTTTTGAGCCATTGTTCACATGCATTGCAATCGGTGAATTTACGAACATTGGTCAAAATTTGTTGTAAATTTTTGTAAGTTGCTTGATTGTGAGCATCTGTTTCAACATTTGGATCAAGCCAAACTAGTTGAAATGTTTCTAAGCGTTGATTTTTAGTTCCAAGTGGAGATATTGGACTTGACGGTAGTTTTATTACAGCCGAACTCGACTGTGAATTTTTTAAGTGTTCTGCCATTGCTATTTTTTTGGTGTGTGCCGCGAGCAATGTCGTTGTCTGTTATGATAGAATATCAAAATAACTGAAAGAAAAAAATATTTGGATTATTTTTTCACTTTATCAAAAAAAAGCGAGAAGATAAAACATCCAAGGAAGAACGAGAAGAGGAGAGTGCAGAGCGAGAAAGATTTATTTTAACAACATATCTACGCAAATATTTTTCTCCGTTGCAATCCTATTCTTACAAATCTCAGCGAGACAGACTGAGCAAATAGACATGAGTCAGAAATTGTGCTTTTCTTCAAAACTGAATGTGAAAGAGAAAAGAGATACTCAAGTCGAACATTACGACGACCAGAAACGATCGTAAATACATGCGTGCTATGTCGCATACAAAAATAACAGCGTAGCATGCGGACGGATACTCGCTGTAAAGTGACTTTTTAGTATGCACCGTATTAATATCGTATATCGCCGTAACGTAAACAGCTTAATGCATAAAATCTTATGCAAGCAACTGTGTCATGACATGCCAACATCTTTCATGTACAAAGCACTACATAGTAGCGGTTATCGTCGTAACGTTACCATTAACGGAACTACAGAGAACAGGAAGCAACTCGAAAATATAGTTTTCAATCTTTTTCAACATAGTCTCGTTTTTACAAGTCGATCAAATTAGTGCTATTTTGTGAAGATTTTTTTTCTATAAAATTGATACAATTAAAACTTTTAAAAACCTCAGCAACAAAGTGAAGATTACAAGTTACGGAGGAACCCCATCAAGTGATTAAGGGCTTTTGAAATAATATTTTTCCCATAGCTAGTTTTCGACTCATGCCAAGATATTTAGAAAAAAAAAAACAAAAGCCGAAACTTCGAGCTGAAATTTTGCTCATGTGTAGTTCCATAGTCCTTAGTATGCGCTAAAAGTTTCAACGAAAATGGATCTTTCTTTCTCAAGATAATGAATTGGAAAGAAGTGCCTGAATTTCATAGAAAACTCAAAAAAAAAATATTTCTCTTATATATTCGTCATGTCGAAAAACAAACATCCGCTTTTGTTAAAACCTTTAGCGCATACTAAGAGTCATGGGACCTACATATGGGCAAAATTTCAGCTCGTAATTTCCTCATTTGGTTTGTATTTCTTTTCTTGTCAGTGTTCATTTAATTATGTAATTAATTTGACAGCGTCATATGAGCAGAGACACCTTTCACATAAGTAGACGTTCTCTTCTGTTTCTTCGGCTTCACTCTTTCATGTTTATCAGCATTCTTTTCTTATTCTTCTCTTTTATCTACATAAGCAACTGGTATTGTTTGTATCGATGTTTCCTCAAGCGTTTTATTAAATGAAAACATTGATTTTCAATTGCAAACACTGTTTGGCGTTGTTCTCGAAACTAGTTTTCTTTTTTGCTTGTAAGAGTTTTAAATTGAAGAAAAAATTGTACTTCACAACTTAACACAGTCAGACTTGTTATTTTTGACTTAATTCTAGAGAAAAACGGATCTTTTTCTACAGAAGTATTCCTGTATTTTTTAGCTTTTAGGAAAAACTGATGCCAACAATTGATAAAGAAGACTTCGAAAAATCAGGCTCTATTAAGTTATAATGGCAAGTGTTGGCTACATCTTGATATCAATTCGAGATCTGTATCATTAGATTTTTGAGAGTAATTTAGAACAGGCGGGTACCTACTTTTTGACTCTTTATATCGGCATAAGTCTTGAAAAAACCAAAACTTTGGGCTGAAATTTTCCGCTAGATAGATTGTTCTAGATCGAAAAATAGATTTTTGAATGAGAGAAGGGCTTAACTGATACAACAGATACATAACAATATTTCACTGTGAAAACCTTCAAGAAGAGACTAATTGACTAAAGTAACTCATTTTTGAAAAACAGAAGAGATTATTGCTTTATAGACAGCAAGATGTGCTCCATACTTCGAGTAGGTTACAAACAATTTTGACAAAATATTTGTTAGAGTGAAAGAGCTGATAGAATTTCTCATGGTCATATTTGTAATCATCTTGGATCGGTGACTCATACTCCAGTACCTTTTGGTGATTACGTTACTTACTAATTGATTGCTACTGTCATCATTGATGTGATTCATCTAAGTGAAGCATGTTACGTAGAGCTCAGAATGGAGATGTTTTGAATGTCAGTTAATTAGATAAGATTTGTTCGGATCAGATTTAATGTCTTACCGTCAAAGTAGAAATCTCAAAATATAAGCTGCTGATGATGAGTAGACACTGAGATATTCGAATTTTAAGGTATTTACAATAAATGTAAGGTACCTACAGATCAGA